AATGACTATTCCGGCGCGAATTAAGAGGATTTCGAGAAACAGGACAGTGCTCGGGGCAGGCCTCATTACAGGCGATCCTTTGACGATGAGACGCTAAAGAACGCCTCGAGGGTCGTATAAAATTCGTGGAGAACACCGAGTTCTTCCTTCGAAAACCGATACTCCGCTTCGATTTCATATATATATATATATATAACTCTAGAAAGTATCCGGCCATTTGCTTGCTTCTGACCGACTTTGATCCAGCGGCGAAATTACAAATAAAAATTATACGTTCCTTGTCGTCCTTTAAGAAAACACAAACCGTATCCACCACTAGATATGAGATTTTTACCCTATGAACGTGTCCTAGTGCTCAACTGTTTCCTTAAAAAAATTTCCAAATTTCTATTTACACAATTGACGTTTAAAACGTCATGTGTAGCTCGACAGGCGATAAATCTCGTTATTATATGACATCGGTGAAATTAATTCTAAAATAAACATTGCCAGCTGTAAATTGTAACTCTCTCTCTCTCTCTCTCTCTCTCCCTCTCTCTTTCTCTCAACGAAAAAAGATAGCAATCGTTCTTAATCATGTCATGAACCTTCCAACAAACTCAAACACGAAGCTGTAATATTTTCCAATCGACACGTACATCGAGCGAAATTACCACGCGCTCTTTCGCCTTGCAGATAAAAAATTCAGCACGCCAATCGACGTGCATATATCGAGCGCGCACCAGGCCCTGTGTACGTTTCAAAAAGCAATATCTGTGAGCTGTTTAGACGGCCTCTATTCGTGTTCCTGTACGTAATACAACGTCGGCCGCGCTCGTGTCCCGTATTCAAATTCAAAATCCAATAGATTTATTTTAGAATCACGTTGCACCGGCTGCGCTCTCGCCTCCGCCTCTTCTCTTCGTTTTGTCGCCCGTACCACTGCCAGCCTCCCTTCATCCAGTCCGTGTCCTCTTCTTTTCCTATTTGTCTGCATTTCGCCAGCAACCCCCGCAGTCTTCTCCTCCCCTCGCCGCCCCTCTACTCTTCAGCTCCTAGTTTCGCAACATTTGTACGCGAACCGTGCCCCAGCATTTCGGTTCCACGACCTGCGTGTACAGTGGCAACGATCCGCGGACCGTCCTGTTACCGCTGCACGTGAAATCCTGAGTTATGTACGACCGTGCAGGCCAGCTGGATTTCCAACCGGAGGATCCATCCTGTCCTCGTGCCGCTCCTTAACGAACCGTCTACGATAAACACGCCACTTCGATGCAAATCGTCGTGGATGTCCACGTGATCCGCTGAACTTTTTGCCTTTCGATCGACGAATGAACGTGATTCGGGTGTCTCGTGTCAAGGATAGAGTTTCGGTTTCCCTTTCTTCTTTCGCTGTTTCGTTTTGCATTCACAGTGGCCCGAGCAAACACAGTGCCAGCCGAAAGTTTAAAGCTACCTCTCTCGTTCTTTCCACTCGAAATTAATTCTACTGGATATGAAAACGCATTTGGAACTATAATTACGACGTTCTACTTCGATTAAATTAGATAATCGCGTTCAGTTTAAATTTGGAAAATTCTCAACGCGTTCGAGGTCTGTGAGAAGCTAGTTCAGAATTATAGCAAGAACTGTAGAAATAAGAAAAACTACGACGGTAATATACGTCGTTAGAAAAACACTATTACACAATTACAAAAGTATTCATGAATACATAAATATTCATCGTTGTTCGACTTCTTCCATTATATTTCGTATTTTACATTTTACGTGTTGGCGTTTTATATTCGACTAACGTTCTCGCCTAACACTCAACTGGCTAAGTAAACCACGTACACTACTGATAAAGCGCACGTTCCACAGAAACGCATAAAATTAGAGAAAACAAAAGGACTGTTCTTCCGAGAGAAATACTGTGAGAACCAGATAAGTGGAGAGAGGTGTAACTGCGAGACAGGGCTGAAGGGTAGAAGAGATTTGGGATACAGTGGCCTATAATGTATGCAATTGGGCCGACGCAGTGTGTAGGATGGTACCTACCTCCTGTTGGTCGATTATGCGTGGTGCTGAATGGCGAGAGGAGACTAGGAAGCCAGAACCATCGCATGCGTAGGCGCTATGCATGTCAGGCATTATATGGTATTTGGTGTGTATCTGTTCCACGCACACCGTGCTTTGGCATTCTGCGCTAGGAATTACAGTGGAACACGTGTCCCAACAACATTCTGCGTATGGTCGCATTCGTCATCGATGATCACTTTGCTATTTGCGTCGAGTGGCACACACGGCGTCTTAACGGAATCTAATAGGACCAGTGGCAACCAGAGATAACTTCGAGTTTTCGATAATTCACGTGTAGAAGAATTGAATTGATCGGTTTCAATTTTTACGAACTTTCGCAATTTTCACGTCACAGATGTACGACCGAAATATATGTTTCGTTTTTCTTTTACAAATAATGGTTGACGACGAATGAAACGAAAAAATTCGAAATTTCAAATCGATCTCGCATCTCGTGTCGTCCTCGAGCATCGCTGGTTGGAAAGAAAAGATTGAAACGTTGGTCGAGAGGTCTGATCGTAAGCTGCTAACCTTAACCCAAGCTGGAGTTGGACCCAATTTTGGCACAGTCGATTTTGAGAAGTAAGTTGCACGAGTAAAGTAACAGAGAAGGAAGTTCATGCTGCATCGACAAGTCGATTCAAAAATATTCGAGAGTCGTAATTTCTGGCACATTCTCCGGTTTATTAGCGGCGAACTAGGCCACACACGATGCGTTCGATACGGGCTAAAAGTCTACTCGCTATAGCTGGTGATACGCGCGGCAAACTTTCCCAGCCTCGATATAACTTGGAAACTTGATAATCCTCGTTCGCGCGGAAACATCGAAAAATTGGCTTGCTTTCGGCTAGCAGAAAAGTCGCGCTAGAAATAACGCCATAGAAATTGTTCCAAATAACATCCGGAAAGCGGATCAGAATTAAATAAATATACTGTTTCTCGAAAGTACCCGGACAACGCTCTTACGTATTTTTCGCCAACGTTTATCTGCTACAAATCGGCTAAAATATGCGAATATTCAACGGAGCACTACGGATTTCTATAGATTTACAATAAAAATTTCAAAGTACAAAAAACACAGAAAATCCACGTAACGCGGAAAAATCTAAATAATATTCCAATGTTCCATTTGCTTGGTTATATTAATAAAATTTGAGAATCGCGTAGAAATCCAGCGTGTACTTAACAGCGAGAAGAAATTTCGTTTACTCGTTGAATTCGAACGAATTAAAAAAAGTATCATTTTCATTATAAATTTCCCCCGTACCTTTTATTTGCTTTACGTTTTACTTCCATTTTTTTTTGTTATGCTCCTGTTTCGATAGTGTAAATCGAGCTGATCGCGTTCATATGCAACGCGTCAAATCGCGCAATTATTTTCCAATAACGAGATACGTAATTGAGTTTGCGAAGCAAGCAAACCGACAGGTGTTAGCGGAAAAACGGTATCGAAACCTCAAAACGAAATTCGGTGTTTTTCCACGGCCAAACCGGTGAATTTCAAATAATCCGCAGGTCCAACCGTTTTCACGGTAACCAAGGCCGAAAAAAAAGCACGGATCCTATTCTCGTCGCCGCGTCGGCTTTCCATTCATTTAAATGCAAATGTAAACTTCAAGGGTGATAAAACAACTGTCCCGCGTTATAGCGCAGCAAGGAGGCCCTTTTATTTTCCCTTGTAAACCGGCTCGAATACGATCGCTATACACCGGATGCAGTCACCAGGAAATGGAGAACCGTAACAACGAGTCCATAATGGCCATTATCTTGTTACACATTCAGATCGAAACGTACGCCAACGTCTACAGTCTGATCGATGCGCTAAACTTGCTAAGAAACGAAGTTGCCGATGTAATGCGCCAAATGAAATTCCCGTCTTGCAACAGTGAACGAAGTTCCTCGAAGAATGAAAACTATAGGTCAGCGGTTAAAAGAACAAGTCATAATTCAAAAATAAGAGAAAGAGCTGGCTTTTCTCCGTAAATCTTGCTACAGTAATAAATTGAATCGTGAATAAGTTGATTCGCATTTCGTGAAATAAATATAATAAAAGAATGGCAATTATACTTGTACAAGGGTTAAAGAAACTCACGCTTGAAAAATTGGGAAAAAGGGTTATTTCTTTATGTCGATGTAAATCTTGGTAAAATAGCGAGATTGGAGAAATTTTACTCGATTACGATGATGAGAACTGCAAGTGGATAAATTTTCCCGAGACCAAGAGAATTAAAATATACAAGTTAATTTGATATTAAATTGACAATAAACATGATGAGTCGATGTTTTATCGTGAATTCTGACTTTTTGAATAGAACGGCAAAATTTTGTTCGAGCGTAAGTCGTACAATTTGGATAAGTAGTTTGGAAGAAAATGGCTCGTGAAGTTTGGCATATTTACATACATCCAAAACTCGGTTGTGGGTCGCCTTAATAAAGGAGATTCGAAAAATGGAATCGCCTAGCTCGGCTTAACGAAGAAAAACTTCTGAAAATGAATCCTCAATTCCCTCGGACGAAAGAAAACTTGAAAAACGGAATTCTTGGTTCCACTAGAATCAGTGGAAAAGTTTGAAACCGGAACTCGAATTAAATTCATCGAACTCATCGCGAGAGGATCGTTCATCTTCATCGCCGAGAGTTTGCTTAATTTTCTTCTTTTTACTTCTTGTTTGCATTCAAGTTTTCTTCCAGCTACTTTTACTATTTTTTTCACGTATGTTAGAAACGATTTTGCAATTCGCCTATCGTTGGTCCACTTTTGTCCGCCGATGTAAATGACTAGCAGGTGCGAGTATTGATCGAAACCTATCAAACGAGATAATTTCGTCGGTCAGTCTGTTCGAAATTTATTCGCAGTTCCGGCCCATCCGCGGCATCATAACGGCGAAATTTTCATTTCTGCCAGCTCCTGGCGCCGATAAAGACCAGATTCTAGTTCAATGTGCCGCGTAAATGTAGCTTACCTTCTGGTAGTCGAGGGCCAGCAGGAGGTATTTTCGGTCGGCTGAGAGTTGATGATCGAAGCTCGATATCAGCGCCTGAAAATTGAACGTAGACCACAATAAATATTAATTCCGCGACGTTATATTTCTAGAGAATTTTTTGCGAAATTTATTGCAATGTCACATAGAATTTCGTTAATCCTCTTCATAAAAATAAAATTTAGATAATCGAACGACGTAATTTTATTAACAGATTCGCTACCCGATTCTATTTTTGTACGTACAATATTTCTGCATAAACAAATCATGTGTAAATCATATTGCAGATATATTGTACGCGATAATTGCCCCAGATTTGTGTTTTTTTTTTTTTTTTTTTTTTTTTAATCAAACATGTCGCTTATATGAACTACATATGTTCGTTTAATCCGCAGCTTGAAATTGGACCTAAATTAATCTTAAAACGTCACGTATACGATAACACAATCGACGTTATCAATCGATATCATTCAAATTCTACATATGTACAAATAAATATCGAATAGGAAGAAGTGGATTATTTTTTCGACAAGTAGAGTATTTCCTGTTGACATTGGACAAAAGAATAGAAGAGAAACACGTTATACTCACGTTATTACTCGAGTCTAAGATTTTCCTCGGCTTCCTCGATGTGACATTGTAGATCAGAAGATTTCCAGCTTCATCGCGATACAGTATCTCGTTTCCTGCGACAGAAATGGTCACGTGTATTTCTGTTGCCATCTCCGTTGAGAGACACGCGAGCTTTTGTTGCGAGGAGAAAAAAAAAAAGAAGAATTGCCCCGATAAAATGAAATTACTTTGATATTGCCCTCGATGGGATCGCCACTGATTGAAGAAGCAACGCTTCTGACAAAATATCGAATTGTTCTAACTCGTTCCAACAAAGGATCCCTTTATTCGTTTAATTAGCTGGTATACAACGAATATTTGAATGAATTAAACAAGCGTTTAAACAGCCATTTAATCGCACAAACGTCAAGATCTCTTTATATTATATTATAACATGGAAAATGTTCACTTCAACACCTCAAATTCTTCGCCTAGACCGTACAAAAAGATATATCATTTATTTAACATATCTGTTCTAAACATTTTTTAATTCCTATATATATATATATATATATATAG